CATATTAGACCAAATCATCAGATCAAAAGACAAAGACATACTTCTGAGACTTGAAGGTTCAGAGCTGACACTGACCTCCTGAAGGCCAGTTTGCGAGCCAGTTCGGCCCTGGCCTGTCACCCCTACCCACTCCCACACTCCCGTTTGCAGCTCTGCTCCCCTCTCCCTCCTCCTCGCTGGGGTTTGTGGCAGCAAATTAGTCTACCCATCCATTGTATGGTCTTGCCTACACTAACTCGAACCCAACTCCTTCATTTTATGGAAGGGGAAACTGAGACTCAGAGGGCATTTCTGAATAGTGTTTGTTCACTATTTTGAGACTCGGTGTGGACTTTTTAAGCACCTTATTTTAAGTCATTTGTTATAGGGAAAATCAAACCCCTATTACCAAGGAGAGAAACCAAACATGTTGAAGTGAAGCAAGCAGCACTTGGGATTTCTGAATTTTGCTGTGTATTCGGCATATGTCATGCAACAGGCCCTTTATTATTGCTGGGATATAACCAGACCCGGGTAACTTAAGGCCTAACAGTCTTAAGGGGATAGAACATTAAATTATTAAAGGAACTGAAAATTGTGATTTTTTTTTTCAACTGTCACCTGTTTTCAAGACTTAAATGCTATAGACTTCTGTGGGAATGATACTGTGTGTATATTCAGTGATGGCATTTACCAAAAATAAACGATGGTCTCCAGGGAATCAAGATTGGTCCTAATTTGTCAGTGAGGGTCTTTCTGAGTGACCCTGTCTTCAGTGTGCCCAGCAACAAAATGTTCACACACTCTCACGTGTGAACAAACTGCAACTTTTTTCCTGAGCCAAAACAAGGACATGTGATGTGTGGATTTATGACACGGTAGGATAAAACTAGAGTCACAGCTCATCAGTTAATGACACGCCTTTATTGAACAGAATAGCGCGGAGAAGCCAAAAGTGTGTAGCAGCTCTGCTCATGAAGCGTGATTTTGAGGAAGAGCGGCTAATAGACGTACTACACACCTAACACAGTGGTGGATTCTTCACACACGATCCTTACAAGTTTTATTAACCTTAATATGCAGATGAAAATGAGGCACAAAAGGCTGTCACTTGCCTGGGATCACACAGGAAGTCTGCCTCCAAAGCCCGTTTCCCCCCCTATTACTCAGAAACCGATTACCTACAGAATTTCCTTCAGCCACAGTTGAAGAGTAGGAGTTGCTGCTAAAACAACGCCCCACATCCTTTTAAGTCCTAATCCTTTTGTCTACGGATTTACTGGGCACCTCGGATGAGCCACGTACTGGAAACAGATGCCTAAACCTCAGAGCTGGGCTTCATCTGCAGATGCGTCACTAAGTAAGGAGCATACAGGTTCTACATTGGAGATACGGAAAATGGTAAGGGAAGTACAGGATAATTATCTGAGGGGAATGGAATGGAAATGTTTTGACTTATTACACATACAATTTTCAGGCTGTTTTATTTGCATGTTTTGTATTACACACATCTCATTTAACCAGCAGGACCCAAGAAGGAGATATTGGCCCCATTTTACAGGGCAGTGGAAACAAAGTCCCGCTCGGCCCAGGGAGCAAGCCAGGAATCCAGGAAGTGTCGGACTCCAAGCCAGGGCCCTTTGCCCTGCACAGTGGTCAAGATAAAGCGAGCGGTTTTGTTTTTCCTTTGTCCTATATTCCCAAGAGGAGGTGATGTCCTCAGAGGTGTGTCGTTTCGTTTCAGTTGCGTGGGCCATGCTGCCACAGTCAGACCTGGACGGAGTCCTCCTGTCTGGGCGACCCGGTGGCTCTGTAGTCCCCACCGCGGCTTCCACGGGGCCTGCAGAGGCTCTGCCCCAGGATGGAGCCGCTGCCTGACAAGTCAAGACCTGTTCCTACGGAGACAGGAACAGCTCATGCTGCGTATGGCCCCACTGTTCAGACACCAGTCTCAACTCCTACCTGGGAGTGAACTCCCCAGGGACTGGAATACCCACTATGTCCCCAGGGCAACTCCTTTGTGACCAGAGGCTTGCTTGGTGATGTGACCCGGCGCCGAGGAATGCTGCTTGCTCCAGGACTGGACAGGACGGTCTCTGTTCCTACATCATCCCTCCTGCTGTGGCTTCAGCTAGTTGACCACATGGGGTTCAGTTACTGTAGGAAACGAGGTGACAGTAACACCAAGCTTCGGCTTTATTGAGACTACAGGTCTGATGGGCACAGAGTTCCTTAGTCACCTGCTACTTTTTTAATAACGACTTCTATTGTCCATGTATTTTTTTAACTTGAAAAAAATTGTTAAAGCTAAAAAATACCTAAACAGACACCAAAAAGAATGAGTTAATGGAAACCAACCTGACGATAAACTACCATTAAAAAAAAAAAAAAGAAAAAAAAGAATGAGCTACGGGTGTCTGGATGGCTCAGTCAGTTAATCATCCGATCTTGGTTTTGGCTCAGGTCATGATCACACAGTTGTGAGACAGAGCACCGAGTTGGGCTGTTTGGGATTCTCTCTCTGCTCTAGCCCCAATCACGCACTCACTCTCAAAATAAACTCAAAAAACAACAACAAAAAGAATGAGCTAGATCTATGTATAAAGGGAACAATTTCCAAAACATATGGATATATAAATGTGCCTGCAAATCCATAGCTTATTTCTGTAAAGACACACAAAATACAACACAGCAGTTGCCTCTGGGGAGGGTATATACACGTTTCTTTCAAAATTGCCATGTGTGTATTATTTTATAGCCTGCTAAAAAAATATGCCATGGACCCCTGGGTGGCTCAGTCAGTTGAGCATCTGACTTCAGCTCTGCTCATGATCTCACAGGTCATGAGTTCAAGCCCCCATCAGGCACTCTGCTCTTGGTGCAGAGCCTGCTGTGGATCTTTTGTTGCCCTCTCTCTGCCTCTCCCCTGCTCACGTTCTCTCTCTCTCAAAATAAACAGACATTTAAAACATCTTTAAAAATAAGTATGCCAGAAATATCTCATGTTATTAAATATCCTCTGATTTTGTGTCTGCGTACATGATACTGCAGTATTCTGAGAGGAATGTGCTATAATGAACCAATCCCTCCCTACTGCCACACATTTAAACACATTTTATGGGATGCCTTTGCAGTGCACAGTGTAGCGCATGCTTCTGATTTGGGATTCCTTCTTCAGAGCATACTTGCAGATCAAAGCAGGTACGCATACGGCTTTTTCTTTCCATTCTGCTTCTTGGGTGAGTCCCTTTGGCAAATTCATCCCACGCAGGAGTGTGCATTTTACTGGTTTCCTTAAGATTTGTTTCCAGGTTCTTGAGGCCTTCTGTGCAGCAGCCTCTGCTTCTGGCAACTCTACTGCTTTCTTCTGACCAGTGGATTCTCAAGTGGCCTCCACTGAAATGAAGCCGGGTGAGGCCACGTGATGCTTATATGTCCAGTTTCAGATAAATGGCATTTTAAACACTAAGAAATGTAGTGGGGCGCTTGGGTGGCTCAGTCGGTTGAGCGTGTCTGTCTTTGGCTCAGGTCATGATCTCATGGTTCATGAGTCCAAGCCCCACATCAGGCTCTGTGCTGACAGCACCACTTCAGTGTCAGAGCCACTTCAGATCCTGTCCTACCCACCTCTGCCCCTCCCCGGCTTGTGCTCTCTCCCTCTCCCTCTTTCTCTCAGAAAATAAATAAAACATTAAAAACAAAAAACGCATGTAGGGGCACCTGGGTGGCTCAGACGGTTAAGCGGCTGACTTTTGATTTCAGCTCAGGTCATGATCTCATGGTCAGCGGGTTCGAGTCCCGCTGACGGCGTGGAGCCTGTTTGGGATTCTCTCTCTCCCTCTTGCTCTGTCCCTCCCCTCTTCTGTGTCTCTCAAAATAAATAAACTTTAAAAAACGACTGTATAAAAATGACAGTTCTACAATCATTTGAGGGGACAGTTGAGCATTATCAGTATTAAATAAGCACACCCAATGCTAAAACACTTCTAATAGTGGCCCCAAAATGAAACCACTGGAAGAGACTCCATAGAGTCAGGCTTGAAGAAATGACCGTACATCCGTATCACACTGTTCTAAGCAGTCACGAGAAATGACCACATAGATTCATTAGCCTGTTTTGGCTCACAGATCCTGTTAAGAGTCTAAAAAAACACTGTGTATCTTTTTTTTTAATTTTTTAACATTTTTCACTTATTATTCAGAGACAGAGAGAAACAGCATGAGCAGGGGAGGGTCAGAGAGAGAGGGAGACACAGAATCCGAAACAGGCTCCAGGCTCTGAGCTGTCAGCCCGACGCAGGGCTCAAACCCATGAACCACGAGATCATGACCTAAGCCAAAGTCGGATGCTTAACCGACTGAGCCACCCAGGTGCCCCAACACTGTGTATCTTTAACTCACGAAAACCCTTACAGGTACTGTTATGCCCGAACTGCAAGTCCTCTGAGACCTCCAAGGAGCTGACACCAATGCAAGTACGTAAGGGTCTTTATTACATGCTCGAGCAGGGGCTCACCTGTCAACTGGCGCAGCGGCAGCAGAGTGAAGCCCCGAACAATAGTGAGCAGGGTTTTTATAGGGTAAGGGACGGGGGGTGTTACAGTGCACACGTTGTACGTATAGCATCATCACATAAACACCAATCACAGTTGTACAGCACCCATGGTAACAGTTTTGACCATTCAGTATCTGTAAGGTGTTTGTTACTTTTGGAGGGACCCAATCATGACCTTTGAGAATCCTTTGAAAATGACCAATTATGAGGTGAATTCAAAGGGCCCACGTGGGGTTTAGGCAAGAGGTGAGTGATTGGCTAGTTTGTACAAAGTATCTGTCTATAGACCCCAGTCCCTGACTCAGACCACAGGAATGTTACACATATATTTTAAACCTTTTTTTGATTGGCTGATCTGAGGGTGGCTTCAGCCTTGAGCAATCTGAGGCTTTTCCTGGAACTGAAACTCAGGCCTACTAATTTTTCTGGAGGGCTTGAAGCCTGTCATGGGATTTATTTAGTTGTCTTTCATTCCCCCCTTCTATTGTATCGTTGAAGGCCCAATCATGGGTCTTCTTGAAATTTTAAGGGACCTAGTTGTACGTATTGGTCCTCGCTCTGGTCGGCTGGGGGCTGGGCATATTGAGACCTAAGAACCATCAGTCGTATGGCACCCAGACGTTCTCGCATGAAGGCAAGTAATCTATTTAAAGTGTAGGGTCCTAAAGTCAGGAGCAGCAGCAGAAGCGCTAGGGGGCCTGCCAGGGCTGTAATGAGAGCGGTGAGCCAGGGGGACCAGTTAAAGATGTTTTCATACCAATTTTTATTCTGTTCTCTTATTTTTGCTCTTTCCTGTAGATGTTGGCGTACAACAGCTAAGCTGTCTTGTACAATTCCCGAGTTATTGGCATAGAAACAACATTGTTCTCCCAAAGCCTGGCATAATCCTCCTTGGTGTAATAATATTAGGTCTAGTCTCCGCCTGTTCTGTAGCGCCATTTCAGCCAAAGAATCTAAGGAACCTCGTATGTGGCGAGTAGAATTTTCTAGTTGGGCTAAATCAAAGTCAATGGCTTGGGCTAAAGCGTCAAACTGTTGGTTGCCTCGTATTAGAGCAGCTGTGCCCGTTCCGACCCCGGCCTCTATTCCTGTTCCAACTATAAGGGTTGGGAGGGCCGCTGACACTCTGAAGTCTCGCTTGCCTCGAGAGTGTTTTTGTTCAGGCTGGATCTCAAAGAACGAAGATGCAGGCTGGTAATATACTTGTGGAAAGAGGGTGACTAGGACACATAAGGTGTCGTTCTTTAACACCTGAGGGTGGATGCAAGGAGTAAGGCCGGAAGTACATGCGAACCATGCCCCACTAGGGGGCCTGAGGTAGGAGGACCCTGTAGCCGTCATGGTCTGATTACATAAGTGACTGAGGTGTGGGAAGGTTGTCAGAGTTCCTCCGTTTCCTAAGACACAGAGGCCTGAACCAGTTACTTCCTGTATAGTTAAAACAGGAGGCTGTCCCCAGGAACAGTGGCCTTCTATGTCTCTGGACACTTGCCCAGAAATTGCCCATCCAACATAGAAAGGTGGTCGTGAATCTAAACAAAGCCAGCAGTCTGTGTTGGTGAGATTTGTGGAATTTAAGAAACTGTAAGTAAGGTTTAGAATAGAGTAGATTACTGGCCTTGTTCTGGGGGGCCGGAGCTGGATTGGTACGCCACCCAGGGGGGAATCAGTAGCACTGAGGCTCGGTGCAGCCTGAGTAGGGGCAGGCACACTTGAGGTGGATCTAGGTTTATGATTTGCAGCCGATGCAGCCATAGGCCCCATCGCCACTGGAGGCGGGAGTACTAGTTGTTTTTGAATAGAGAATAAAAAGCCTATGTCGTGACCGGTGAGCCAGAGTCGAATGCCCCACACCTTCGCTACTGACCAGTTCTCTGTTTTGCCTCTAGGAGTGAGTTGAATAGAAATTGGGTTTCTATTGGATGGACTAGTTTGGTTACTGGCCCGAACAAGGGTAATTAGGTCGTTACTGGGTTGTTTGACCCATGGAGCAATAGTTTCACATCCCCAGGAGCCACAAAAGAAATGTTCTATGCCTCCGCAGGTGTCAAAGTTACCAGTCCCAGGGCATACATAAAAGGTCTGTTGTCTTAGATTTTGATGTTGGCAGTCAGCCCCCGATCGACACCCGAAAGTGTTACAATCTACACACTGACCTTTACAAATCCTTGGATTTGTGTTCCAGTGATCTCCCGCTAGACTACAGAGGTCTAAATGGAAGGTAGGGAATGTGATGGATGCTGGTCCAGTTAATGTCAATTCTTGAACTGTCCGCCCCAAGTCCCTAGGTGTTGTTAGGGGTCCTCGCAAAACCCATTTGGCAGTGGTAGGCTGGTGAGGGTTGGGGAGATGGGAGCTGGGATTGGATTTACATACAGTTAGTAGAGCAGTAAAAATCAGGAGCAGCATAGCTTGAGCTTGAGCGGGTTTTTGAGGTTCTTTGTGGCCTTCCATTGAGGGTCTGGTGCCCGGTAGTCCTCTTTGGCCGTGAATGGGTCAGCTGGCCAAGAGTGGGTATAGTAAATCCACGTGGCGACTCCGTCGACTTTCAGGGCTGTCGGGGTTGTAAGAAGCACGGTGTATGGGCCTTTCCGCCTGGGCTCTAAATTTGCTTGGCGATCTCTCTTAACGTAGACCCAGTCACCGGGGCAGAAACGATGCAGCTCCAGTGGTGGACCTGTTTCATAGAGGGCATGCAATTTAGGCCAAACATGTTTATGAGCCCACTGGATCTTTTTTAAGTCATTCAGTAGGCGCTGATCTTCAAACTCATTAATCACCTGTGCTTGGAGATTGGGAATAATAGGAGGGGCCATCCCAAACATGATTTCAAAAGGAGTTAATCCCATCTGGTATGGGGAGTTGCATACCCTATAGAGTGCAAAGGGAAGGAGAGCCACCCTGTCTCCGCCAGTCTCCAAGGTCAATCTAGTTAAGGTCTCTTTTAAGGTTCTATTCATCCTTTCTACCTGTCCTGAATTCTGGGGTCTATACGCACAATGTTAATTTCCAATCAATCTCCAGGGCCGTGGCTAAATTCTGGCTTGCCTTGGATACAAATGCAGGTCCATTGTTTGAACCTACCATCTGAGAAAAGCCATACCTGGGGAAGGTGTCTTCTAGGAGTTTCTTGGCTACGATCTGGGCAGTCTCATGTTTAGCTGGGAACGCTTCCATCCATCCTGAAAAAGTATCTATAAACACTAGTAGATATTTGTACCCATATAGTCCTGATTTTACCTCAGTGAAGTCTGTCTCCCAGTAGGCTCCGGGTCGTCTTCCCCTCAGGCGGTTTCCGGGGTTGTTAGGATTTTTCGTGGTGTTAGTGAGTTGGCATGCCTTGCAATTGGCCACAATCTGTTCAATCTTAGAAGTTAGCATCTCTGATTTTTATCTTAGCATGGTGAACTAAATCTTGCATTCTTTTGATTCCCATACGGGAGGCACAGTGTATCTTGGTTAGGGCTCTCATACCTAGATCTTCAGGGAAGATGAGCTTGTCATCTGCTGATCTACACCATCCTTTTAGATATTGGGTCATAGGCAGCTTTTTGATCCATTGTAAATCTTTGCTATATTCGGGGACTTTAGGGAGAGTAGGGTCTCCACGGTCAACCAGGGTGATGGCCAGGGTATGACTGGCCCTGAGAGCAGCTTGTCTGGCTGCTTGGTCTGCTAGGTTGTTGCCCTTAGAGATCAGATTATTATCCTTTTGGTGACCTGGGAAGTGGATAATAGCCAGCTTTTTGGGGAGCCATAAAGCTTTTAGTAAGGCCAGGATCTCTTATTTGTTTCTGATAGTCTTTCCCCCAGCTATGAGCAGTCCCCTTTCTCTGTATATGGCCCCATGGACCTGTGCAGTAGCGAAAGTGTATCTGCTGTCTGTATATATGCTTAATTTTTTTGTCTTTTTCCAGAGTCAAGGCTTTGGTTAGGGCTATGAGCTCGGCCTTCTGTGCTGAAGTGCCAGTGGGCAAACGTTCTGCCCAAATGGTTTCTTCCATTGACACTACTGCCGCCCCCGCATACCTTTGTCCCTCCTGTATGAAGCTGCTGCCGTCTGTGAACCAGGTAATTTCTGCATCTGGAAGTGGAGTGTCCCTCAGATTAGAGCGGATCCCATGAACTTGAGCCAGGACCTCGGCACAGTCGTGTAAGGGCGCTTCTAAGTCCAGATCCGGCAGCAGTGTGGCTGGGTTTAGGGCTGTGGGGGCCTGGAAAACGATTCAGGTAGGATTAAGCAACAAAGTCTGACAGCGTGTCATGCGGGCACTGCTGACCCATCGGTCTGGTGGTTGTTTTAAGACTCCCTCGATGGCGTGGGGAGTAGTGATAGTTAACTCTTGTCCTAGTGTCAGTTTGTCTGCATCCTTAACCAGAAGAGCTACTGCCGCTATCATGCGGAGGCCTGGGGCCATCTCGTGGCCACTGGGTCAAGCTTCTTTGACAGGTAGGCCGCGGGGCGGCACCATGGGCCCAAGCGCTGGGTCAAGACACCCTTGGCTATTCCTCCGTGTTCATCTATAAACAGATGAAACGGCTTAGTCACATCCAGTAGGCCCAAAGCAGGTGCTGACAGGAAGGCCTGCTTTAAGGTCTCAAAAGCCCTCTGATGTTCCTCAGTCCAGGTGGAGTTAGGCTGCCCTTTGGTGGCCCCATACAGAGGTCGGGCTATCTCAGTGAACCCAGGAATCCAGAGTCTGCAGAAATCGGCTGATCCTAGGAATTCCCGCATTTGTCTGGCATTCCTAGGGGTAGGGATTCTTAGGACAGTCTCTTTCCTCGCCTGTGACAGCCATCGCTTACCCCCCTTGAGGATACAGCCCAAGTACTGTGCTTCTTCTTTACGGATCTGGGCCTTTCTGGCTGAGGCCGGGGTCCTAGGTCTCCCAGGGTTTGCAGCAACCTCTTGGTGCCAGTCGAGCAGGTGTCTCGACCCTCAGCTGCAAGAAGCAGATCATCTACATACTGCAAAAGAGTCAGGTGGGGGTTTTGGGAGCGGAACTCACCCAAGTCCTCGTGCAGGGCTTTGTCAAAGATGGTGGGGGAGTTCTTGAGCCCCTGGGGGAATCTAGTCCATGTTAGCTGTCCATTGATTCCTTTGTCAGGGTCGTGCCACTCGAAAGTGAAGAGGTCTTGGCTCTTGGGAGCTAGTGGGAGGCTGAAAAAGGCATCCTTTAGGTCTAGGACCGTGTACCAGGTGTGGCTAGGCGGAACAGAGCTCCACAGGGTGTAGGGGTTGGGCACCGTCGAGTGGATGTCTATTACCCGCTTGTTGACCTCCCTCAGATCCTGTACAGGCCTGTAATCGTTAGAATCTGGCTTGCGGACGGGTAACAAGGGCGTATTCCAGGCCGACTGACATGGCCTCAGAACTCCTAGATCTAGTAGGCGCCTAATATGGGGAGTTATGCCCTTTTTGGCTTCTAGGGACATGGGGTACTGGCGGACCCGGGCCGGGTTTGCCCCAGGCTTTAGTTCTGTGAACACTGGGGGCCTATGTTTTGCTAACCCCGTGCCTCCAGTCTCAGCCCACGCTGATGGGAACTGCTGGAGCCAAGGTGGAACCCCCGCATCTGGTGTCATCGGTGTCTCATGCAGGCGATATTCATCTGCCAGCCCCAAGGTGAGCACATGTCTTGGCTGCCCAGCCTGGTCTAATACTCTAGTCCCTTCGGCTGAAAAATGAATTTGAGCCCCCAGCTTGGTCAGCAGATCGCGGCCTAGCAAGGGGTAGGGGCAATCTGGGATGACCATAAAGGGGTGGGATACCTGGCCCACACCAAGGCCCACTGTTCTCTGGGTAGTCCATGGTGCTGCTGTATCCCTGTGGCTCCCTGGCCCCAGGATGTTTCATTTGCCAGGGGGCCAGCTGGTTGCAGGAGCACAGAACGTGGAGCCCCAGTGTCCGCTAAGAACTTGGTGGACTTCCCCTGCACTTCTAGGGTTTCCCTAGGTTCGGGGAGGGGTGCCGAACCCCGTCTCCCCTAGTCACTGTCATCTCCCATTACTAGAATGGGAGCGTTTGATTTTTTCCTTCTGAGACATTCTCTGGACCAGTGTCCTTCTTATTTGCAGTAGGCACATTGATTTTTGCCCAGGCAGGGGCGTCCTCCAACCCGTTGGGAGTTTTCCTTACCTTTTTCTCCTGAAGCCAACAGTCTGAGGCGTCTTTTTCGGTCCTCTGGCTCAGCAGTTGCCGCGAGTAGGATCTTGGCTAGACCCTGGTTTTGTCTTTTTTCAGCTCTTACCTGCTTGTCCTCTGCACTTTCCCTGTTGCTGTTGACCCTTTCTGCCACGACCACTAGATCTTGGAGGTTCTTTTCCCCTAGACGTTCTAGTTTCTGAAGTTTTCTCCGAATGTCGGGAGCGGACTGACTGATAAAAGCCATGGCCACCGCAGCTATGTTTGCTGGGGCCTCAGGATCCATAGGGGTGTACTGGCAGAATGCCTCCATTATTCTCTCAAGGAATGCTGCGGGGCTTTCCTCTGGTCTCTAACATTGTATGCTTTGGCCATATTAGTAGGCTTGCGGGCCGCAGCCTTGAGACCTGCCAATAGAGTCTGGCAGTAGACTAAGAGACTCTCCTTACCTTCAGCTGAGTTGTAGTCCCAATCTGGCCATGCCAGGAGAAACCCAGCATCAATTTGAGCCTGGTCAGTAGTGGGAACTCCAGTGGGCCCAGGAACCAATTTCCTGGCTTCCGACTGGATTCTTTCCCCCTCCTCAATAGTGAACAGAACCTGCAACAATTGCTGGCAATCATCCCAGGTGGGCTGATGAGTGAACAGAACAGTTTCTAATAGGTTAGTAAGGGCACGGGGGTTCTCCGAGAACGGAGCATTCTGAGACCTCCAATTGTACAGATCGCTTGTGGCGAAGGGCCAGTAATGGTGGGGCTGGCTGCCCCTATCATCGGGGGGCCTGTGGCCCTCAGGGGCAGGACAGTAGAGTCCGGCCCCTCAGGTGTCATTCCATGGCGACTTCAGGTCCCTTGGGCGGGTCCCATTTCCGCCGACCCCAGGGCCACCGGGGCCGGTGGGACAGAGAGCGCTGGTGGTTCGGGTGGTGCCCTTGCTCTTCCTGCTGGGCCCTGTGGAGGGGGTTGATAAGGAAGGGGAAAATTAATTCCTCCTCCGTTTTGCCCTGTAAGACAGGGTAGAGCGGCACAGAGGGTTTAGCTGCCTTTTTCAGTGGCTCTGAAGCCCAGCGGGTATTTTTCAGCCACTGCCAGGACTGCAGGTTTCTATGGAGGCAAGAAACTTTTAATCCAAGGGGGTGGGTTATCAACCAGATCGGCCCAAACCACAATGTATGGGACTTGGTCGGGATGTCCCGTTTAGGGTTGGAAAACCCAATCCTCAACCTTCTGAATGGGGTTGTGGTCGAAGGTCCCCTCTGGCGGCCATCCCACATTGAAAGTGGGCCATTCGGAGCTGCAGTAGGTTTGAAATGGACCCTTCCTGACAATCATTGAGAGGTTATGTGCTCGTTTTTTAACCTCTCCAAAATGGGCCAACATTACGTCTAGGGGTTTGGATGAAGTCTGTCCCATAGCGTCAGTCTCAGTCACAAGGCAACAGACACCAACAGAGAAAGTTGACAATCACAGGGAGACACAGAAGGCTAGCCAACAGACTCCCCTGCTCATTCGGAGGAGAAACTGAAAGTAAGACGCTGACCTCATGCCGGTTCATGGTAGCGACCCGCTCCATCTTTTACTGAGTTTTGGGGGGGGGGGCCTCAAACCCTTTTACCAATGGGGGCCTCAAACCCCCTTTACCAATGGGGCCCCGGAATGTCTTCTCGGGATCCCTGTGGTCACGATCTCGTGGCGCGTTCGCCTGACCGTAATTGACCACTTCCAAATACGAATTTGTCCCGAAACCAATAGAAATAGACAGAAATAGACCAGACACGTAGAGACAAATAGGTTCTTACCGGTCGATTGACCCTTCGGTTTGGGGATCCTGGGGGTATTGGGGTTCCTGGCCAATGCACCAAATGTTATGTCTGAATCACGAGTCCCCTGAGACCTGCAAGGAGCCGACACCGATGCAAGTACATAAGGGTTTTTATTACAAGCTCGAGCAGGGGCTCAACCGTCAACCGATGCAGCAGCAGTAGGGTGAAGCCCCGAACAATAGTGAGTAGGGTTTTTATAGGGTAAGGGATGGGGGAATGTTACAGTGCACACGTTGTACGTATAGCATCATCACATAAACACCAATTACAATTGTACAGCACCCATGGTAACAGTTTTGACCATTCAGTATCTGTAAGGTGTTCATTACTTTTGGCAGGACCTTTGAGAATCCTTTGAAAATGACCAATTATGAGGTGAGTTCAAAGGGCCCACATGAGGTTTAGGCAAGTGAGTGATTGGCTAGTTTGTACAAAGTAATTGTCTACAGTCCCCAGTCCCTGACTCAGACCATAGGAATGTTACACATGTATCTTTAATCTTTTTCTGATTGGCTGATCTGAGGGTGGTCAGAGGGTGGCTTCAGCCTTGAGCAACCTGAGGCTTTTCCTGGAACTGAAACTCAGGCCTACTAATTTTTCTGGAGGGCTTGAAGCCTGTCATGGGGTTTATTTAGTTCAGGTCTTTCAGTACAACAGTGTGCTCTCTCTGAACCTCACCACGGTGGATCACAAATTAAAACCCTCATACAGATCTTTACAGGCATGGAAAACCGGCCGTGGACCCAGATTAGGAGCTTTATATTCCACAGGCCAATCCCCGCATTCCCTTTGCCTGGAGTGGCCACAGAGCTGGCTCTGGATTCGGATCTCAGTGCAAACGGCACTTCCCAGGGGCAGGCCCCACGCCCTGCTTTACCAAGCTCTCAGCACTCTGCTGTTCTCCTTAAGGTCACTTTGGTAATGACGCATTGGTCTGCAGGTCTCTGCCCCTCCTAGGCTGCCTGCTCAGACAGCAGGTCAGTCACCCATCCGGGCATCACAAGCCACATTCAGCCTGCTTTTCTGTGAACAGTCTTTCCTAGTGAACATCTACAATCAACTCATGCTGGGAAAGGCCAACTTAGAGCCGCCAGAAAAGCCTTCTACTCTTCCCAACAGAACTGTATTTTAAAACCTGCTTAATTATTATGTTCTGAACACCAATTTAAAAAAATGTTAGGGCCATTTTTGTCTTTGGCTATGCAAGTACCTGCATGACACGCTACGTTTTGCCTCTTGGCCCACAGAGCCTAAAATATTTGCTACCTGGCCCTTTATGGAAGAAGGTTGCCAATTCCTGGCCTAGAGCAGTAGCTGGCAGACGGTGTAATCCGCAAGCGTCAGGTGGAGAAAAATGTTAACAATCCGAGAGAAGTGTATCTAACATCTACGGACATTGACTTGCACAGAAAAAACAGGGAGGCAGAGCCAGCCGAGCGTCAACAACGGCAATCTCAACGAGGTCGCGTTGCGGGGACGTCCCGTCTCCGTCCTCTAACGTTTACGGCTGCTTGTCTTATCTTTGCCCACCGTCCGCACGCGTCCGCTTCGTCATCATCTGAGAAGAACTGTGCATCTTTCAGGAAGGCGCCGTGCCCTCTGGGCGCGCAGTCTAGACGGCTGGGGGTCCCCGCAGGTCATGGGCGCTCATTCCCCCCGCTTGAATGACTGCGCAGAAACCACGGGAGCCCCCATGGGACGCAGTGTGAGGCCGGCGTGGGTCCCCTGCCCCACAGTCTTCCTTACCAAAGCGTTGCGCCGAGCGAAAGACACTGAGCGGGAGGATCTTGCGAAGCTCCATAAGCCCAGTTCCATCCCCGCCAAGCCCGCCGCCTCCCGGACGCATCTCACCTCGCAGTCTTCTCACCGCAGCCTCGCGAGGAGGAAACACAGGCTTTGACCGGCGCAGGGACGCCCCAGGCTTCTGTCCCGCGGAGAACGCAGGCTCTCCAGCAGCGACGGCGGCTTGGGAGGACGCCGCGACGGCGGCTAACGGTAGTTCGCGCCTTTCCACACGTTCCGGGGCGGAGCGCGACAGCGACGCACTCCGCGCAGGCGCGGGAAGGCCCCTGCGCGTGCGCTTCACTAGCCCCTCCCGCGCGACCGGCCTGGCACCGCTTCTTCCCGCCCGCCTTCTGCCCTCACTTCCGCGGTTTCCTGGCGACGGCCGTAAGTGGAGGGCGGAAGCAGCCCGCGAGGCCAGCCGTAAACGGCTCCCTCGCGCCACTTCCGGCCGGCTTCCGCAGACGGGGCTGGTGGGCGATCGTGAGGCGCCGGAGGACGTTCCTTGCGGCCGGAGCCATGGAAATGCCCCTGCCGCCCGACGGTGAGCCCCAGCCTGGGCTCGGGGACCGTTTCTCTCTCCCCGGAATCCTTTCTTGGCCCGCCCCGTCTTCCGGGGTTTCCGGGCCTAGCAGGGGGCGGGGCTCGGCCTCCCGGGTTCGCCTGCGGCCTCTCCCGCGGGTCCCCGCATCCCCGGCGCGCGTGTGGCCCCTATCGGGACCCGTACAAGGGCGGCCTCTCCCGGGCCCAGCCCCAGGGACCCCAGCCTGGCGGACGGGGGCTGGGACGCCAGGGCCCCCGGATTTGGGCGGTCCTCGCTGACGCTCCGCGTGGCCTTTTCTCCGTCCTCCAGACCAGGAGCTTCGAAATGTCATCGACAAGCTGGCCCAGTTCGTGGCTCGCAATGGGCCTGAGTTCGAGAAGATGACGATGGAGAAGCAGAAGGACAACCCGAAATTTTCGTTTTTGTTCGGAGGCGAGTTCTACAGTTACTACAAGTGCAAGTTGGCTCTGGAGCAGCAGCAGCGTGAGTTCTCTCCAGCCCTCAGGCCCCCCCTGCCGAGCGATTCCTTTCTCCGACTCCAGTTGGTGCTCTGCCACAAACCGCCTTCTTTGGGGCGGCATGCTCAGTCTCTGAAAATGGGGCAGCTCAGTCTTCATGATCCCTTGCGCTGTTCCGAGGGCCCTGCCCCGAGCGGCTGCTGGGTCTGAGTGGAATAGAGAACGAGGTTATCGATCCTCTTCCTGGGCTCCGGATCAGGGATTTCTGTATTGTTTTGCAGACGTGATGACTTAGATCAGCAGAAGTAGAGTGGCTGCTTCAGTGTTTTCCAGAGTGGAAGTGATAGAGGCTGGACCGGGACCCTCCTTGCAGGTGCCCAGCACCCTTTGCAGGGCTCTCGGGTCTAGCAAGGTTTTTGTGCATTTCAGGTGTTGGCAGTCTAGATCAAAAAGACTTGTTCTTTGGGTTTCAGTTCTTGGCTGATAATTGTCGTTCATCCATGTTCACAGAGTTGAGTATCAGGCTTCCAGCCCTGCCCTCACAGAGTTTAAGATGGGTTTAGAATGGCCTTTGAGTAAATAGCCAGTCACCAGGTGGTAAGAGCCCTGAGGGCAGAGCCCACGTGTGTCTTGTTGAGTATCACATTTCAAGCTTCTAGATAGCATTAAATGAATACATAGGGGGTTGCCAAGTGGTAGGCAGTGAAAGGTGGGCACTTCCTAGACTACAAGGTCCTTGAGGCCAACCAGACCTTGTTTGGGTCATCGTTGTGCTGTATAGCACACGGCACTTAGTAGGTGTTCAGGGAAAAGTTTGTAAGAAACAGCAAGGTGATGTGCCGTGGCTTGAATGAACACCGTGTGTTTAGAGAGCCCTAAGAGAAGCTGTGAGACGCCCAGCATGGCCGGAGCATAGAACGTGTGTGGAGAAGGGAAGGGTTTGAGTTGGAGTGGTAAATCCCAGGGGAAAGTTGGGGTTTTTCTCGCTCGGTCCAGGGGTTCATTTGGTGCCAGTTAGGAGTGAGGCTTGACGTGCAGGTGGGGGTTTGCCTGCAATTGTAGGCAAATTGTGTGCGTGTAAGCATTCTGGAGCAGCCATTCATTAGCCCCAGCACGTCCCCTTGAAAACAGCTGCTGTAGGCGGTAGGAAAGCCACAAGAGAATTCGAAAGAAGGGAGAGGTGGGCCAGGTTTGTGGGGCCAGTGTAGAGGACAGGCTCGGGGAGCATGAGTGGAGGCTGGGACCAGGGAGGTCTGTACGTGAAGGAACGGGGCGTTTGATGGTAAGGTCTGAATTAGGTCAGCAGGTTGAGTCAGAGGGCGTGGGCATGGGGGCAAGTAGGGTCAAGGGGTGGATCCATGAACGAGGGCACCGGTTGGATATTTATGGGGGTGGCATAACCAGGCAGAGGAGGACAGTGCTTTGGCTCAAGTGACTGAGGTGAGGTGCAATTTTCCCTGCAAGGGGGGCCCACTCCCTCCCTGGAGGCTCGGAAATCAGGGGCTGCTTGGGACTTGGCATCATAATGGGGGGAAGGATGGGGTGCTTCTAACAGGGGACGGTGGCTCAGGAGAGGCGTTCTGCTGGTAACGGCGTCTCTGCTGTCTCTAATGTCAGAGTTAGCCAGATGGAAATGGAGGAGAGAAGCGTTCAGGCAAAGGAAAGAGCTCTAGGTGGGGTTGGGAGTGGAGGGGGCAACAGCTCGGTGGCTGAAGCCCAGGGAAGGAGGGATTGTTGGAGTGGACAGAGGCAGGGGTGCAGATGACGGAGGGCTGGCTTGCTGGGGACTTAGGAATTCTGGAAGCTTTCGGGGAGGTCTTGGAGGATTTTAGGACTGGGTTCTAGAGCAGGTTTAGTCACTGTGTAGCTGGCCCTTCACTCCAGTAGTTTGAGAAGAGTGGGCCCCCAAGACTGTTCTAGAATGGCGCTTCACAAACCCTGATGAAAA